ATGCTTACATAGTAAAATAGAAAGTGAGGAGTTTTCATTTTCTGTTCACAAGCTTCGTACTCTGTGGAGTTAATTTTTTAGGTTGATTGGTGAAATTTGTTTTTAGAAGCAAACTTCCCACTGCCTTCCCATCCTCAAGACAAAATAAAGGATGGGAGAGGGAGGGGAGCGCAGTGGGTTGGGAGGTGCAAGTCTCATTTACATGTGTGAATATATTATAGAAGCCTTTTTTTTTTTTTTTTAATAGAAGCCATTTTATTTTTCATTTCAGATATTTTCCCAGAGCCTCAGATTATAGAATTTCTTAAGAGGAGATGGTGCTATCTTGCCTTATCTTTTCTAATTTTTTGGATCATCTGAGTATGAAAATGCTGACTTGTTCAAGGCCTTTCTCCTTTCTTTATCCTGGAACAGAGATGTTTGTTTTGAAGTGGTATAAGTTAATAATCCAACTTCAGATTCCCCATAAAATGTGTAATAGATTACACAGATGGCAAATGATGATATATACATTTTAAATATGAAGAATTCCTTTGGACCAGATGGTGATTTAATGCGAATTGTCAAACATTTATGTTTCTTATTAAATTGTCATCTTTTGTGTAAGCCAAGCTGCAGCATAATTTGCAACACACTCAGGAATCACTAAAGGACAACAACAAAAAAATTCAAGATGCTGAGCGGCTCCATATGGCATGTGAAGGCTCACAGCCAGCTCTTTGCCTAGTCCTAAGGAATACCTGTTGGAATGCTGCGGGAACTGTCCCCCTGCTTTCCGCTCCTTCCCCAGACTACTGAGCTGCCATTTAGCGTGCTGGCCTTCCTCTTCAGGGGCTTGGGAGGGAATAAGAAGCTCTTCTTTCTCAGGGCCTGGGATTTATGTGCCTTAGAGCAGTTTTAGCTTTTCCTCAGGCATTTCCCTTCCCCACTGTCTGGTGTCCTGTTCTTGTTAGTTGATGGGCTCCACCCGGACTCCTTCCTCTCAGATGCAGCACTAGTGTCGCTGGAATGGGTCATTTGTGGAAGAAGTCATGTGCCCAGTCATGGGGCTCCTTGCAGGAAGTGCTCCCTGCCCGTGAGGGTAGCACAGAACAGTCCTGAGGCCAGGGGGCTCCCCAGCGGCAAGTCTTGGGTGGACACAGTTCTCATTTTCAGTTAGAGCTTTGAGGATTTCAAACAATATCAAATCCCCGAAGCCGTGGTCTTTTGAAAATGATGTAGAAATGTAAGTAACACAGAGGATAATACATGAAGGCCAGGACAGGAAACCCATTGTTGCTTCATTATAAATTTGATCAGAACATCTGCTTTAAGGAATTCGAGGTGGTTAAGACTACCCTTGCTTTTATTCTTAAGTAGAATGTTTCTTTTAGAGACTTTGCATAGCAACAATAAACACTACATCAAAATAAACTTTAAAACACAGAGGAAAAACCCTCTGAGGACACTTTGAAACCTGTTTTGGGCCCACTGTGATCTCACTGAAGGCTGCCCAGTCTGCATTAAGAACAAGTAGATGTTGTCACTTGAAACCTCTTTTGGGGGCATTCCTGGTGGAGACAGTACGCTCGGGCTGTGGGGGCCGTTCTGCCTCCCTGGGCCTTGTATTGTTTCAGGGCCGAGAACAGGATATTCAAGAGCTGGGCTGGGTGATGCTTCGTGATCTGTTTTTCCTGTGTGTTGATAAAGATCCGTCAAGGTGTCCTTTTCTGAGCATGTTAGGGAAATGTTAAAAAAATTGAAACAGGAAAAAAAAAAAAAAAAAAAATTGAATCAGTCGAGCTGTGCATTGAAGGGTAGTCCTGTCAGGAATCGAACAAGTTGAATGGGTGTGGGTGGGTGTGTACATGAAAATAAACACAAAAGTGTGTGTTAATGTGTTTTTGTTTTCAATGCATGTTGCACAAGCCCATGAGTCCGTTTCAGGCCCTCCCTGAAGGAGGAGGAACCAAGTAGCTTCGTTGCTGAAGGTTGCCGCAGGCTCCTGCTACACTTGGGCCCACAGCTTCATGATCATCCATTTGCCCCGAGTTCGATCTTGCTCCTATGACCGCGAGTACTAGAACCATCTCTGCCAGCGTGCGCAGCAACATTCGCATAGACTTCACATGTATAGAGCAGTTTCTTTCACGTCTCACTTGATCCACCAACATCTGCAGATAGGGGTGGGATAGAACTATTAGGTCGTGAACGTGGAGCTAAACCATCTGAACCCACTCAAGACAGCTCATCTGGAGAAGGAAAGGAAGGAATAGAGTTGTATCAACTCTTGGTGTGACCGCCACTGAAAAATTTTGAGTCAATTACAGTAGATATATTTTTTCAGCCTGTAAGAGCTGGGTTTTGGGGATACTCTGGAATAGTCTGGTTTGTGAGCAGGTATTTGCAGCATAAACTGCTTCACTGTCCTTTCAGTTCTTTCAGGAACAAATCAAAACTGGGTGTTCCTTTTGATCCTGGGATCGCTTGACAAGGAGAAGCCCCCCGCCTGGGCATTCTGGGGAAGTGAGGGAGGGATGCACCAGAGTGACCCCAGCTGCAGGGACACGTGTGTGCGTTTCTCTTCTGTTGCTCTGAAGAGCTCAGCACGCTGTCCGCATCCATTTTTGAGAGGGACCGGAGTTCAGCTGAGACTGTTTGATCGTGCATTCTTTTAATTTTCAGCGCTGGCTTTTAGTGGATGTGAATAGTCTGAAGACCTCAGTAGCTTGGTGCCTTAGTCCAGTTCTCCGAGCTGGATGGGATACTCGGCTGGGTCTGAACCTATTGAGAAGCTACAACCTAACCAGATCAGAATTTTTTTTTTCCCAGATCAGAATTTTAAAGATTTTTTTTTAAGATTTTATTTATTTATTTGACAGAGCGAGCACGCGCAAGTAGGCAGAGCAGCAGGCGGGGGGTGGGGGGGAGCAGGCTCCCTGCTGAGCAGAGAGCCTAATGCAGGGCTCGATCCCAGGACCCTGAGATCATGACCAGAGCCGAAGGCAGCAGCTTAACTCACTGAGCCACCCAGGCATCTTGAGATCAGAATTTTCAAGTAGCTTTCTCTCTGCCTTTGGATAAAACATGTCCATTAAAATGGAGGCCCATCATTTTTAACCTGGAAATTATTTTCATGCTTACTGTTCATGGGGAGCTTCCTGAGGAGATAGCCACATATGAATAAATGCTCTGTGGTAGCTGTGTTCTTGTCATGGCCAGGAAGATGACTTGAGGGGATGTGCTCAATCCAGCCTTCTGTAAACTGGCCACTTTTTCACACCACCAAGATGTTAAAGTGTATGTATGTGTATGTGTATGACAGTGGATTTTATATCCTGCCCACTGGTCAATGAACAGATTTTATACTTTTTAGTGTAACCTGTGGTTTAAGACAGCACAAGTCCAAGTTTGGGACTGCCTAGGACATATCCCTGTACACTTTCTAGCAGTCTCCCGTTGTTCTAAACCTCGGTATTTTCATCTGTAAAATAAGAATGTTGTCTGCATATGGTTGTCTTGTGGATCTGTTTGTATGTAGAGTACTTCAAATGATGCTTGACATGTAGAAAGCCTTTGACAGACGTTGGCTGTAGTTCTGAAGAGCTACAGCTGTTCTAACTGTACCTGCCATGTGAGGGGGACACTTTTTAACCTTGCTCGAGGCTAGAAGGATGATAGACCCCAGGAGCAGGATTTCCTGGTGTTTAGGATTCTCCCACCAAGGCTGTAGCAATGACCTCTGCTATCCATGTCGCTGTGCAGCGTTTAGGCTGGGTGGCCTGCTCCTCCTTTGTCAGGTAAAAATAGCCTGACTGCTCAGTGAAGCAATAACCACGTTATTTTTGTCCTTGGAGGCGGAAAGCAGTAGAGTCTAGACACACGGGGCAACCTAATGTGGCCCACCATCACCAGGACCAAAAATGCTGGTTGTGCACACTGTGTCTACCCTGCCTTCGGGCCCCAACTCCCTTCCCCCATGTCTTGATTTTTCTGGTCTTAATCTCATTATATTATTTTCAGTATAGATGACTTTCTTCAATGGAGAGTGATTTAAATTTCCTGTGTAGACTTACCCAAAATGAAAGGTATAAATCAGAAAACTGCTTTTAACACGTGGTTAGGAAAGTCTGGAAATGGAACCAAGGCCTAGCTTTGTTACAGAAATCAAAATAACCATCCCTCATTGTAAGATTCTCCCCGTATCTTAAAACTTTTGGTAACTTCCATCCTTCCCTGGAGCCATGTTTTTTTGTTTTTCATTTTGTGTTATTTTAAGAGGGCTGCTTGTGATTTCTCAGAAGCGAAACTAGTAAGCACTACCTCTTTTTCAAGGCAGCCTCTTGCTTCACCCATGGGTCACAAGATCACCATTAGCTAGGACTTTTCTTTACTAATTTGTTCACGCCTCAGGAGCTAAAACTCAAGTTGAGAGGAAATTGTTTTAATAACTGAGTCACAGGGACAAGAATAGCAAGAAATGATGGGGGGAAATAACTTCATGTAGGAAATACCAAAAGAAGGTGAAATTTCACAGCCGCTAGATTGACATTTAACAAGGGTGCCATTCCCCACCTTCCCTCCAGCTGTAAAATGGGTTTAGAAAAAATTCCACATATTTGAGCATGTTTGCCAAATTCCATTTCTCGTAAGAAACCAGTGACTTGGAGTCCTGGCTGTAATTTCTGTATTCCATTAAACAAGTGTGGGATTTTTTTTAAATTTAAGAACTTTAACGTGTAGCATGCTCCTCGGTGAACTCTGCCATCATCCAGTCGTTAATAATCAAGTAATAAGTGGTTAGAATGGATGGCTGTGTTTGTAGGTTGTTGTTTCTTTTAATGAATAGATTCATTCAATGGAATTAACTGTGCCCTTCCAGAACATTGGATCTGTGTTCCCATTCAGATGGTCATTACCCTACCCCCATCAACAATGGCATAATGTAGATTATATGGTACCTGCCATTTTGAAAACCATCTTAACCGTGGTCTCTCTCCTTTTTTTTTTTTTTAACACAGGACATGGATTTGATTGACATACTTTGGAGGCAAGATATAGATCTTGGGGTAAGTCGAGAAGTATTTGACTTTAGTCAACGCCGAAAGGAGCATGAGCTGGAAAAACAGAAGAAACTTGAAAAGGAAAGACAAGAACAACTCCAAAAGGAGCAAGAGAAAGCTTTTTTTGCTCAGTTACAACTAGATGAAGAAACAGGTGAATTCCTCCCAATTCAGCCAGCCCAACACATCCCATCAGAAACCAGCAGCTCTGCCAACTACTCCCAGGTACAAAAAACTCAGTTCTTGGGAAGGTGTCAGGGTTTAAGGAAGAGACACTGGCCCAAGAGTTAAAACGTCTGGATTTGCATTCCAGCTTTGCCTTTTTTACTGTCTTCATGACCAAATCAAGTCAGCTTCCCAACCTCAGCCTCCTGACGAGTTCAACACCTGACTGACTGCCCTCACAGAGTTGTAAGGAGTGCAAGGGTGTATGTTACATTGACTGCGCTTTGTAAGCTGTGGGAACAGAACGTGAGGCTCTAGCAGCAGTATAACTAGTAGTATAGATTGCTAGTGTTTTGTTTATAGATGAGCAGTTGAAGCTCAGAGCACTCAAGAAATTGGGAAGCCAAGATTGGAACCAGATGGTCTTGTTGGTTTGATTCTGTGCTCTCTACTAAACTGATTTCTGAAAGAAGATAAGTGTTTGGTTAACTATATTATAAACATTGTCTGACACTGAGCAATCTTTTTCTTCTTTGACGTCCTTCCCTTTTATCAAGGTTGCCGACATTCCCAAACCAGACGCTTTGTACTTTGATGACTGCATGCAGCTTTTGGCAGAGACATTCCCGTTTGTCGATGACAATGAGGTATAGCATTTGACTAACACTGAAGCTCCCCAACTACATTTAATATGTCCTATAAGTGTGTCTCCATTTAAAAAAATATTTTAGGAGGAAATTTGGTCGAAGAAACCTTAGCGTACAGTTAACTTCACAATTAAAAAAAAAAAAAAAAGCAAAAAAAACAAAACCCTACACAATACCAAACCAAAACCACTTACCCCTGCATACCCAGAAGCGTGGATCTGCATAACCATGGAAACAAATAATCCATTGGTTATAGGTACTTAGAAATAAATTTTGGTGAGTAAAAAGCAAACCGGGTAATAAACCAAGACTTGCTCAGTTAACAGTTTAAATAGTGTGTGTGTGATTGAAGCCCTATAAGGTTATTTTTACCAAGAGATACAAGTTAAAACTTCAAGATTTTTACTTATTTTGAAATTTACCTTCAAATGCATAGCATAAAACAGTTAAACTAGTAAATGAGCCCATCTGGAGTCGTTGGGCAGGGGAGAAAAGATGTGTTTTCGTTATGTAGAAATAGGGGTCATAAGTGGTTCTAACTAGAGAAGCACAGAACTGTTAGCCAGGTCCAGTGTAAGGTGTTGTGATGGGGCCTGGGAGTGTTCTTCTTCAGTGTTGCCCACAAACTCACGTAGATATATGCTTGGTCAATTTTAGGTTTCTTCAGCTGCGTTTCAGTCACTTGTTCCTGATATTCCCAGCCAAATGGAGACTCCAGTCTTCGTTGCTCCTAATCAGGCTCAGTCATCCCAGACTCTCCTCGTTCAGTCAGTCATTGCTGATCTAGACAATATGCAGCAGGACATTGAGCAAGTTTGGGAGGAGCTATTATCCATTCCAGAATTGCAGGTAACTAAGATCTACTATCAGTAAACGCCAAAGACACTGTCATATTCAGTGCCTTTAAACTAATTACTGCAGTTATTTACATGTCACTGACTTAGTGCAAGGATTGGAGGGGGCTTTTAAATCCGTCGTGAGAGGGCCGCCCAGTTGGTAGAGCATGTGACTCTTTCGGGGTTGGGAGTCTGAGCCCCACGCTGGGTGTAGAGGTTACTTAAATAAATTTAGTCATGAGGGCTGTCCGTGTTCACTTCCGTGGACTGGATGTCTTGAGGAAAGATCTGGTCTTTGTAGGCCAGAAGTCTGATCTAGGAACTTTGAAAATAATACGAATGCTTAGACATAAGTATCTGTCAGAAATGGGAATTATCTGAATTACAGAAGAGCCTGGAAAGAATGGGGGTGGGGAATCGGGCTCTCTGCTAGGCAGGGAGCCTGCTTCCTCCTCTCTCTCTCTCTCTGCTTGTGATCTCTCTCTGTGTCAAATAAATAAAATCTTTAAAAAAAAAAAAAAAAAAAAAGAATGGGGGTGGGGAGAGTATACCATCAGATGCAGATTATCCGCTATTAAAACTATTTGCCATTAGGGGCACCTAGATGGCTCATCACCGGAACATGTGAACCTTGGTTCATGGGGTTGTGCGTTCAAGCCCCATATTGGGGGTAGGGATTACTTAAGAATAAAATCCTTTAAAAATAAATAAATAATAAATATTTGCCGTGAGATATAGATTATCAGCTATTAAAATATTTAACCTGATTTACATTTAGTAAAAATTTCTTTTCCACACAGTGTCTTAATATTCAAAATGACAAACTGGTTGAGACTAACACAGTTCCAAGTCCAGAAACCAAAATGACAGAAATCGACAACAGTTACCATTTCTACTCATCAGTGCCCTCGCTGGAAAAAGAAGTAGGTAACTGTAGTCCGCATTTTCTCAATGCTTTCGAGGATTCCTTCAGCAGCATCCTCTCCACAGAAGATTCCAGCCAGTTGACCGTGAGCTCATTAAATTCAGATGCCACAATAAACACAGATTTTGGTGATGAATTTTATTCTGCTTTCATAGCAGAACCCAGTAGTAGCAACAGCGTGCCCTCCTCTGCTACGTTAAGCCAGTCACTCTCTGAACTTTTTAATGGGCCAATTGATGTTTCTGATCTATCACTCTGTAAAGCCTTCAATCAGAACCAGCCTGAAAGCACAGAATTCAATGATTCTGACTCTGGCATTTCACTCAACACAAGTCCTGGCATGGCCTCACCAGAACACTCGGTGGAATCTTCAGTCTATGGAGACACACCACTTGGCTTCAGTGATTCGGAAATGGAAGAGATAGATAGTGCTCCTGGAAGTGTTAAACAGAATGGTCCTAAAACACAGCCAGTACAGTCTGCTGGAGATACAGCCGAACCCCTGTCCCCATCTCCAGGGCACAGCGCTCCTGCACGTGATACCCAGGGCGAAAACACACCAAAGAAGGAATTGCCTGTAAGCCCTGGTCATCGGAAAACCCCATTCACAAAAGACAAACATTCGAGCCGCTTAGAGGCTCATCTCACAAGAGATGAGCTAAGGGCAAAAGCTCTCCATATCCCATTCCCTGTTGAAAAGATCATTAACCTCCCTGTTGATGACTTCAATGAAATGATGTCCAAGGAGCAGTTCAATGAGGCTCAGTTGGCATTAATTCGAGATATACGCAGGAGGGGTAAGAATAAAGTGGCTGCTCAGAATTGCAGAAAAAGAAAACTGGAAAATATAGTGGAACTGGAACAAGATTTGGATCATTTAAAAGATGAAAAAGAAAAATTGCTCAAAGAAAAAGGGGAGAATGACAAAAGCCTCCATCTACTGAAAAAACAACTCAGCACCTTGTATCTCGAAGTGTTCAGCATGCTCCGTGATGAAGATGGAAAACCTTACTCTCCTAGTGAGTACTCCCTGCAGCAGACAAGAGACGGCAATGTATTCCTTGTGCCCAAAAGTAAGAAGCCAGATATGAAGAAAAACTAGATTTGGGAAGATCTGACCTTTTCTGAGCTAGTGGGTTGTTTTGGGGGTTTTTTTGGTTTTGTTTTTGTTTTTGTACTGTTATACTAAAAGCTCCTACTGTGATGTGAAATGCAAAAATATACTTTATAAGTAATTCTACGCAAAATTGTAGTCAAAACTAGTATAGAAAATAATTCAGACTTTAAAAAGCATTAAAATAATTCATCAGTATGCTGAATCAGTAGTTTCACTTTAACTGCAAACTTAATTTCTTAGAACACCATTTGGGCTAGTTTCTGTATAAGTGTAAATACTACAAAAACTTCTTATTTATACTGTTCTTATCTAATTTGTTACATTCATAGATTTATATGATATCTGGCTAAAAGCAAATTGTTGTAAAACTAACCACTATGTACTTTTTTTTATAAATATTGTATGAACAAAAGCATTTTTTTATATTAAATTGTTTAGCTCTGGCAAAAACCAATTTAGTTGAAAAGCTGGTACTAATAAAGGAATATTACTGTTAAGTTCTTTGGAATTCATTTGCATTTATTTATTTTCCATAACAGTAACACACTTAACATATTTAGGCATTTTGCATTTTCAAAATGTTTCCAGTCACTGAAAATATGACAAGTATTTTATACTAAACTTCTGGTTCCAGAGATTATAAAGTATATCAAGAAGATATTTTCTTTCAATAGCAAGTACCTCTCAACCAAGGAAAATACTGTATGTTGACATGAAAACATTGTGTTTATTCACACCAGTGCATGTTTGCCTACCATGTATGTGCTAGATATTTTTTTTTTTTTTAAAGATTCCATTTATTGGGCGCCTGGGTGGCTCAGTTGGTTAAGCGACTGCCTTCGGCTCAGGTCATGATCCTGGAGTCCTGGGATCGAGTCCCACATCGGGCTCCCTGCTTGGCAGGGAGTCTGCTTCTCCCTCTGACCCTCCCCCTTCTCATACGCTCTCTCTCAAATAAATAAATAAAATCTTTTAAAAAAAAAAGATTCCATTTATTTATTTGACAGAGATCACAAGTAGGCAGAGAGGCGGCAGAGAGAGAGAGAGGGAGGGAAGCAGGCTCTCTGCTCACTAGAGCAGAGAGCCCGATGCGGGGCTCAATCTCAGGACCCCGAGATCATGACCTGAGCCGAAGGCAGAGGCCTTAACCCACTGAGCCACCCAGGCGCCCCCCATGTGCTAGATATTTTTTAAAATACAGAGGACACAGTGGAAATCCCTGGGGTTTTTTTTTTTAAGATTTTATTTTTATTTATTTGATAGAGACACAGTAAGAGAGGGAACACAAGCTGAGGGAGTGGGAGAGAGAGAAGCAGGCTCCCTGCTGAGCAAGAAGCCTGATGTGGGGCTCGATCCCAGGACCCTGAGATCATGACTTGAGCCGAAGGCAGACACTTAATGACTGAGCCACCCAGGTGCCCCAAAATCTGTTTTTGAAGACAGCAAACTTTACATATGCCAGGATTGGGAAGGCCAGTAGAAAGAAAGCATTGCGATTTAAAATAGGTTTGGAAGGGCATCAGGATGGCTCAACTGGTGTCTGATAGCATTTCAACTCAGGTCATGGTCATGAGATCAAGCCCTGTGTCACGCTCTGCACTAGGGCATGGAGCCTGCCTATGATTCTCCCTCCCTCTCCCTCTGCCCCCATGCTAGAATAAATAAGGTTGCAAAGAAAAGCCTTACTGAGATGGCAACATCTGAAGGTGAGGGAGACCCATTCTATTAGCTAAAAAGAGGACTGCAGACAAGACACCAAAGTCCAAAGGCTCTGAAGCCTATTTGGGACAGAAAAAGGACTACATGGCTGAAAATGGAGGGGGGAAAAAAGAGGGCAGGTATAGTGTAATGTGACACAGAACCCCTAACACCTTCATGAAGGCTTTGGCTTTTACAAAATGGGGAGCTATGGGTGTTATGTGTAAGTTTCCTTAGCCTTATGCGTTGAAAATAGTCTAGAGGATTAAGATGGGAGCAGTTAGATGAATGTGGGGAAGCTCTGAAATAACTCACATGGGAGGGATAGTTTTGTCTTGATCTAGGGTGATGATAGCTGGAATGAGAAGGCACTGGATTTGGTAGGTTTCAAAGGTAAAGAATTTTCTGACAGAATGGATGTTGAGTGAAGGTGCACCCAAGGACCTGAACATCTTTAAGAACTGAGTTGCCCCGAGATGAAGATTGGTTAGAAGGGAAGTCTAGGTGGGAAAGTCCATTCACTTTAGGACATACTGAGAGATTGGGGCACCTGGGTGGCTCAGTGGGTTAAACCTATGCCTTCAGCTCAGGTCATGATCTTGGGGTCCTGGGATCGAGCCCCACATCGGGCTCTCTGCTCAGCAGGGAGCCTGCTTCCCTTCCTCTCTCTCTGCCTGCCTTTCTGCCTACTTTTGATCTCTGTCAAATAAATATTAAAAAAAAAAAAAAACATGAGGACATACTGAGAGATTAAACATAAAAATAAGACAAAGTTAAGGCCCCACAAAACTATCTGCAGTCTGTCCAGTAGATCACTCAGCATTGATTCACTGTTTCTTCATCTAATCGGTCTTACGTTTTTAGAGTGGGGAAATTCAATCTCAAGATTCATCTTGAGAGTTAGGTACATTTAGAATTAAGTACATGTGGATTATTCACTGAGTCCTATTAATCCGTTAGGAGTGATACAGTTTAGAGGTCCACAGGCCCTAAAACCAGATTGGCTGAGCTTGCTGCCACCATCTTCCTGGAATGACCTCCAGTAACTCAAAGCACACAGGCTCACTTCCTCATCTGTTGGGCAAGTATTGAGTTACTACACAGAAAGTACTGTGCCCAGCTCTAAATTAAGCACTCTGCAAATGGGTGTTTTCTCATTTTCCTTATTAGCCTTACTAGGATGCCTTTTAGCTGCTAGTCAAAGAAACAAGTCAGATTAGCAAGTTAGAGAATCTGACTCAAAGGTCAAAGCTCAGGGTTGAAAGTGAATTTAAGAACTAATGGGTGTATCTTAATATTCAGATTCTGCCCCGGTCCTCCTCCTGCAGTCAATTATCTCCTGTAAGTGGTGGTGTTGAGATCCTGGAGACCTCATTTTTTTCCAAACTCAAATAAATCTTGGGATCTTGACAAATGTGCCCCACCCTCAGACAAAATGATAGGTGTGTGAGCATGTTGGGGACATGGCATGAGTCCAAAACCAGCAGCCCCACCTGGAACACCTGGAACGGGCTGGCACTTAACAGGAGTGAAAAGCACTGCCAGGCAGACTGCCACAGACTTCTAGCTGGAGAGCAGTTCATTCTGTAACCATAGTTCTTTACAGTACCTGAAAAACTGACTTTGAACTACTAAACATACTATGCAGAGTTCGAAACCCCAATTTTAAATACAGCAAATCCTAACCTCATGACAAAATGAAGCCAAGTTTTCATCTCCTCATCTGGACTTGAGTCCACCTGGACTTTTTAGTGTCCTCAGATTGTTTGGCAATCCAATTGTTGAAATTAGACTCGTTTTAAAATCTGTACCTATGCCTTTTACACTGACATACATCAAGCGTTCTTAGAAACCTTAGCTGAAAGATACTGCATTTGTTATGCCAAGAAACATCTTCTTGCTGAGATTTCTTAAGGCCAGGATTTTTAGGGAAGGGGTGGCTGCTCAACTTGTACTTCTCATACCATACTTGTTTTTCAGCCTCAAAACATACGCAAAATAATTCTCATTCCTATTTTAAAAATACTTACCAGGACAGGTTCAGTTTTCAGGTGCATTTTATACTTTTTGAGAGCTGGAGAAAAATTTAAAGATCTCAAAAACTTTCACTCTATGTGGAGGAAAAAAACCTCTTTAAGACATTGGCATAACAGGGACCCCCCTGGGTGGCTCAGTCAAGGTCAAGCATCTGTCTTCCACTAGGGTCATGATCCCAGTGTGCTGGGACCGTGCCCAACCGAGCTACCCGGGTGTCCCTTGATTACTATTCTCAATGTAATGCTTAATTCTACATATTTAATGTATATAAAACCACCATTCCTAGGGGTCTGTTGGCATCACCTAACTGCCTAAGTGTAGCATGCATAAAAAAGAAACCCCAAGTAAACTTGCCAAAGCTCACAACTTCTGTATTTAAGTATTTTACTGTTAAACTTGATTCTAAGAAACTAAAACCTAACTGAATTTTCCAACCTATTAAGGATGTAAGAGGAGACAAATGAGATTAAATCCAAATAGAGCACCTATCAGTTCTTTTCCTAGGTATTTTGAAGAAAAACTTATTCAACATTTCTGTCAACAATGCACAGACTAACGATGTATTTTAACGTCAAGTGTAATGCCCTTGTGATTATAGGCCCTTGTAACAATTATAATGGCTATATACATGGATTAGGTGACACTTTACCATTTCATATCTTAAGGCTGCCAACACCCTCGTACTTAACTTTATCTAAATTTACCAATAAATTGTTCAAGTATCTAAATTTATCAATAAATTGTTCAAGTTGAGCATCTTGGGCAAATTCCTATTTCCTAACTAGCTTTCAGTATGGTGTTCACTTAACCTTTATTGCTTGAAAGGCAGTTCAATGCAACCTGCCATTACTGTCTTTGAAAAAAATCTAAGCAAAAATGGCACATTTTACCTATTAATCTTAACCCCTTCCCAATCCTTGGTACCTTCTATACAATCCTAATTTAAATCAACTATAACATAGGTCCAGTTTTTGCAAAACACTCATCTCCAAGATTTAGTTAGTCTATGAACATATGGAAGATTCCAATGTTTTGTTACCTGAATATCATTTTCATTCTGAAAAACAAATTTACTCATTTTGGTAGAAATTAAATTCACCCTTGCTGAGTTACTTTGGAAGTCAAATATTAAAACAGGACTATAAGGTACTTAAAGCTGCAAAATTCAAAACCACTGCATGTATTGCGTTATCAAAATGTGTTGCAATCCTAACAGCTCAAATTCCTCACAAAGCTTCATCTGCATTTAATATGCTGTTATTAACACTAAGAATCTAAATACTTGTGCTATGAAGTTTTCCTAAAAGTCACAATTCTCAAAGCCCTACCTTACAATTGATTACTTTGCTCTTATCAATGCACCACTGCGGTCTGACAAAATTTCATGCTTTTTCCTCCCAGCCCATCACACCACAGTAGACTCAAGCAATCCACTGCCTTGGATAGGGGTGGGGAGGGGAATTCATCCAACATCTGAAACCCTGTCCCCATCTCTCTTCCCGAGTATCCATAACTTTGTATTTTTTCCCCAAAAGCTCAGATTCCTCATCACCCCAACATCTCACCTATTGGTATTCAAGACTTACATCCTTAAGTAATATGCTTTTGGTTTATTCTTCTAACATGTATTTCTAGTGTCATGTATTTATTTTCCACTGAATAGAATCCATTATCTTTAACCACTATATAAAGGATCATTCCAAGTTTCCTGTTATTTTACTAATGTAATATTCACCTAAGTGTTTAAATCACAACACTGTGA